CCTGTGAGACCAGCATTATCCTGTTACCAAAACTGAACAAAGAACATTATCAGAAATGAAAACTAGACCAAAATCCCTCATAAACATAACATAAACCCTTAACAAATTTTAGCAAATTATATCCAACAATCTATAAGAAGAATAATTCATCATGACAAAGTGTGGTCTACCCTAGGATCTCAAGGTTGTTTTAAAATTCAAAAGTTCAGGCGCCTGGGTGGCTCAGTTGGTTAAGCGGCTGCCTTCGGCTCGGGTCATGGTCCCAGGGTCCTGGGATCGAGCCCCACATCGGGCTTCCTGCTCAGTGGGGAGCCTGCTTCTCCTTCTGCCTCTGCTGTTCCCCCTGCTTGTGCTCTCTCTTAGCATCTCTCTCTCTGTGTCAAATAAATAAATAAAATCTTTGAAAAAAAAATTCAAAAGTTAATGTACGTTGTCTTAATAAAAGAGAAAAATCATTTGCTAATTTCAACAGATGCAGAAAAATCATCTGACTAACACCCATTCATAATTTTAAAAATCTCAGCAAACTTGGAATAGAGGGTAACTGCCTTAACATCCTCCTCATCTAAGAAAAACCTGAAGCTAACAACATACTTAATAAAGACTGGATGCTTTATCCCATGGATTGGGAATGAGGCAAGGATGTCTGCTCTAACTTCTTCAATTCAACATCATTCTCTAACTCCTTACCTGTGCAGTAAGGTAAGAAAAATAAAATTCAAACTGACTGAAAAGAAGCAAAATTGTCTTTATTCACAGAAAACATTATTTTGGGCATATACTCTGAAGGAAGAAGGGCTAAAAATTGGTAAGTAACCATCCATCTTAGAAAGTTAAAAATAAACAGCATAGTAACTCCAAAAAATATAGGAGAAGAGCAGACTTCAGGGAGATAGGAAAAAATATGCACTTAGAAAGGATAAAGGCACAAAAGATTCATTAAAATAACTAATAAGATTGATAAGTTCCTGATGAGACTGATCAAGAAAAAAGAGGGAAGATACAAATGATTAACATCAGGAATAAGAATGGTGGTATCACTACAGATATTAAAGAAATTTAAAAGATAATATCTTTTCAAATGACAACAAATTTAAAAGAACTAGAAAAATCGCTAAATATGTACTACTTAATAAACTGACATAAGAAACAGAAAATCTGAACTGTCACATGACAATGAAAGAAATTAAACCTAGAATTAAAAAACTTCCCACAGAGAAAACTCTAGATCTAAATCCAGCAAATTCTACTGCACATTTATGGAAGAAAGAATGCCAATCTTACACAAATTCTACCTGAAAACAGAAAAAGAGAAAAGATTCTTTAATCCATTTTTTTGAAACCTGAATAAGGTAACACTTAATAAGAGCATTAGAAGAAAGGAAAACTGGAGCACTTGGGTGGTTCAGTTGGTTAAACGTGTAACTCTTGATCGCAGCTCAGGTCTTGATCTCAGGGTTGTGAGTTCAAGCCCTGCACTGGGCTCCATGCTAGGCATGGAGCCTACTTATTTGAACAAAAAAAAAAGAGGAAGAGGAAGAAGAGGAAACTTTTTCCCAAATAAAAAACATTAAACCAAATTCAACAATATATAAGATAATACATCAATCACAACAGAATAAAAGGAAAAATTATATAATCATCTCAATAGATACAGAAAAAGCATGACAAAACCCAACATACAATGATGATAAGCACTTAGCAAAGGAATAATGGAAAGTGAATTTCTTATGAAAAGCACACAGGAAATATAATAATTATGAAAACTTAAAATTTTCCCCTTTGGGAAAACACTGGGCATAGAAAAAGCATCCCATATTACTGTCCATATAATCAAAGTAATCCACAAATAAAGTACTACAAATAATGGGTGAGTTTAGCATGACTGCTTGATACAAGGTCAACATACAAAATAATCTGCATTATTGTATTCAATACCAGTTCAAGAGTATTTTAAAAATCCTTACCTAGGAAAAAATCTAAATAAAAAGTATGTAAGACCTCTACGCAGAAAACTATAAAAGAGTTACAATAGCCAAATGAGATCTAAATAAATAAAGGAATATACTGAATACATTGAATATACTGAATGAATGAAACCCACAAAGGTATTAATTCTTCCCAAACTCATTCATAAATTCAATAAAATTGTAATTGAAATCACAACAGGTTTTTATAACAATTGAGAAACTGGCTCTAAACTGACAATTGAGATATTCAAAGAAACAAGAATAGCCATGACATTCTTTAAGAATAAGGTGGGAAGACTCTATCTGCTGAATACCAAGTCCTACTACAAAGCTACAGTAATTAAGGCACAAGAACACACAAGCAAATCAATGGGCTCAAACTGCCCCAGAAACAGATCATACAGAAGAACATTTTATTTATGACAAGGATGGCACTGCAAAGCAGTGGGGAATGAATCATCTCTTCAATAAATCATGCCGGACCGATCTGGTATTGTATGTAGGAAAAAAAATGAAACAGGACCCCTGCTACTCATTATATCCAAAAATGAATTCTAGGCAGATTATAGATCTAAATAAAAAGGGTAAAACAATAAAGCTTCTAAAACAGAAGGATATCCTCATGATATCAGGGTAGGGGTATCAAGGTAACTTCTGAAACAGGACATACAAATATTAAGTATAAGTGAAAAAATTGATATATTAGATTCCACTGAAATTGACAGATGCTGAATTTCAAAGACAGGAGTGAAAGGCAAATAAATATTTGCAATACATACAACAAAGGGCTCATATCAAGGACAGTCACAGATCAACCCTTACAATGGATTTTTTTTTTTTTTTAGAAAACAACCTAATAGACACACATGAGTTGAACAGGCACTTCACAAAAGAACATATAGAAATGAGCAATAAACATACCAAAAAAGTATTCAACCTTGATAGGAATTGGGGTATGTAAATTAAACACATGAGAGACTACACATACATCAAAATGGCTAAAAAAAATGGCTAAAGTGAAAGAGATGGAAAATATTCAGGGTTGGCTAGCATAGCTCACCAATGGTGTATGAGACTTCTTGTTGCTCCATATCCTAGCCAACAGTACTTTTTTTTCACTTTAGCCATTTTGATGGATGTATATCACTTAGGAAAACATCCTAAAATTATCTGCTAAAGCTAAAGCTAAACATATGCAGAAATTCCACTTTTAGTTATATATACAACAGAAATACTGATAAGGTACATTAAGAATCAAATGCAAGAACATTTGTAGATTTACGAAAAACAATGAAAATAATTCAAATGTATATTGACAGGAAAATACATGAAGACACTGTGGTCTACAGAATACTACAGAGCAATGAAAATGAGTAAACTTCAAACGCAGTATCATCGATAAATCTCACAAAAGAAGCCACACACAAAAGAATACATACTCTGTGACTGACAGAATTCGTATAAAATTCAAAGCATAGCAAAACTAAACTACAGTGTTTAGGGATTTCAACTTCCATGGTATAACTCTAAAGGAAAGAAAGAAAGTAATTTCCCACAAGTCAAGACAGTAGTTACCTTTGGAAGGGGGCACATAATGACTGGGAAGGAACATACCAGCAACTTCTGGCATGATGGCAATGTTCGATTTCTTGTCCACGGACGTAGTTACAAGGGAGTTTAGCACGTAAAAGTTACTGAGCTACATATTTCTGTTTTGCATACTTTTTTATACATGTGTTTCACACGTACACAAGTATAAAAAGTTATCCAATCAAAACTTTTCTATAACATACAATTATTTTATAATAGCTTATATTAATTTTAATCAGAGAAAGGGTAACAAAAGGGGTGAGCATGTGGGGTTAGAATGAATGATGGAGTGGGGGTAGAGAATGTGGGAGCTTATCTTCTATAATGAGAAGCAAATAGTGCCTAAAACTGAAATTCAGGCATCTATTTAAACATATTAAAGTAAATACCAAATACTAAGCTAAGAAAGAGAAAAGTACTTGTCCTAGGGAAGGGAAAAATTGTTTAAAAAAAAAAGAAAGAAAAAGAAAAAATCTTTAAAACCTAAACAAACAACAACAAACAACAAAACAAAACAAAAAACCTATGGAAAAAAGAAGACCCTGAAGTCACCATTTATAGGCAGAACCTTCATCATCCCATCTCTTGCTCACTTCTTCACTTCTATCACATTCTGAGTGAGTCAGCATTAACTCTCGGCCTGAAAGAAAGCTCTCTCAGCAGAAATGACCCCCCCATCTCCAACTCTGGCTGCATTTGCCACTCTTATAATGAACATAAAAGGTAACAATGGAAGAGAAACTCAACTTTCTCTTCTATCCACTAATGAAAAACAAAGCTGTAGACAATAATGATGTAAATAAAAAGAAAGTTTTTCCACTTGTGGATTACAAAGCATGAACTACTTGCAAACGCAGAAAAGAGTATGAAAATATGATTTTAAACATTTCTAAATATAGTTAAAAATAGGTATAACTTTTAAACTCAAGATACACAATTAACACACTAGTGTTGTCAAGTTAAGGTGCCCCTAATTCATAAAAATTAGGTCAAAGACAGTACAATAAAATTATGTGAAATATGCTCATTTATCAGTTTCTAAATAAATCTGATTTATTTTTAACTGACATCTTAATTATACATATTTACATCTGGAATATAACAACTTTTCTCTCTTTTAACAATCTGAGACAAACAAAATGTTATGATTATACATTAGCTATGCCTCCTCAGTTTCTACAGCTGAAATGTCAGGTCAATTACTTAATAAGATTTAATTTTACCTTGTTTAATCTGTCCTTGCACAACATTACTGGAAGTTGGAGGGGAACCCCTTGCCTTAGAAAGGTCTGGGGTGCTTGGTCGAGGTGGCCTTTAAAAAGAAGAAAATATATGTATATATACATCATACTTTCATATTTCCAGAACCACTTAAAATATTAAGCTTTCTAGTCCCAAATGAAATATAAAAGAAACATATACAGAACATTTTCAATTTACCATTCCAAAAAATGTTTTTTTACTATTTTGTACCTATTAACATTTTCCTTTTCAAATGTTAATATATTGAATGATTAGCAAATAGCAAGTAAAAATTTTATATCTACAATTTATGCTTTATACTAATTTAAGAAATATTTCTGAACAGTTTAATGTACTACCACTGACAAATAAATATTGTAATTAGTCCTTCATTCTTCAATATTAGCATGCTGAGATTTCAGCCCTCCCTATATCATTGGTCCAAATGAATTCATGGAACAATACAGTGAGTCTAAAAGAATTCATCCTTAAAATCTGAAAAAGGTAATAAGGCATTAGAAATCTTGGATTCCAGAGGCAGTCTGTTTCATTGTGAATTCTAGTGATACCACTTAACCATCTTGTGTGACCTTGGACACATTACTTAACCTGTGTCTCAGTCTGCTTATCTGTAGTAAAAGGATAATAACAGTGCCTACCTTGGAGGGTTAAGAGCATTAATGAAATAGTATCTATAGAGTACTTACAACAGAACCAGACACAAGGTAAGTACTACGTATTTGATTTTTTAAAATTTCTCAATATGACCAATTCTCAATAAAGTATAATAAAACCACAGTTTACAAAGTTGTCCTCATGACTTCTGGAAAATAGGTAATAGCAAATCAGGTTAGATATTCCTGAAATATTAAAATAATACTCTCCTACAATTAAAAACTTGTTTTCTCTCTTCCAACTGAAAAATTCTTACTACACTTCTCGTAAAATTCTGAAGCTAATTACTGAACACCTTATCATTCATTACATATAAGTCATAAAGAAGCATTTCAACCAAATATACCCTTTGAATTAAATGTCAATGCAAACTTTAAGTGGATACAATTCTAAGATTATATTTACTGAAGAGCTAGTCTGTAATTCACTTATTAAAGCTGATGTGAGCTACTCAGTTTAAATAGCTACGTAGTATGTTTGAGTAAAGATTAAACTGTGTAATTTTATCATGCTTTAAATCATGCATGTTGTGTTTTAAAATTTCAAGGGGAAACACTGAGATGACACAAAAATGCTAAGGTGGGCAGAGGCCCCCCCCCCAAGTAATAAAACAGTGAGAAAAATAAAGCAGGCTTTATTTATTTATTTATTTTGAAATGTGAGAATAAAACCAAACTATCAAGGTCACACCTGGTAGGAGCCTTCTTCATATGATCACCAATAAAAGTTGCGTTGGTCATACTCATTAATGTATTTGCCAAAGATATGATAGACAGGAGATGCTGTGTGGTGACGGCTCGGGACACTCCGTAAGTTCCCCTTCCAACGCTCTCGGTTGCTGGCAGCTTCCTTCCTACTTCTGCTTTCCCATGCGACAGCTTCCGAGCAGGCTGATTATAACCAGGAAGCATCAGGGACATATGACCTCCTCTCGATAGGAGACCGAAAGATACTGTGCAGTGCGGTTTCAGCATTCCAAGGCGATCAAGACAAACTTCATCCAGAACTTCATTTAAACCCCAGGCATGAAGACATGACATGAACAATTTTGCAGTGTCCATCGTTAAATTATATTCTAATAGGGTCAATGGCTTAGATTTGCTGGCCCGATACTCTGGATCGCTCTCTTCTCTTCTCTGCCTCATCATCTCCTCGTCCTCCTCTTCATCATCCAGGAGATGTTCCTTTATGTTCTCTTTGATAGTTTCTTTCACTTGTTGGAAGAGAACTGCTGCTCGTTTTCCAGTTAGAAAAGAGCCCCCTTTGTCTGAACTGCCAGATGCTTTTTGCAAATTCTCTGGGGAAATAAGCGCAGTATTTGGCCTAGAGGCTTCTTCAGTCAAGAGTTGAATAATCAACGCTTCCACATCAAAGAAAAGCACATGTATGTCTGGGTCTGTTAGGTTTGTCTTTATTGCCTGAACCACCAGGGAGTTATGAGAATATTTAGGCAAATTTCCCTGCAAAAAACATTTTTAAAAAATGGTTATAATATAAAGTGTTTAACTGCATACATTCATGACTGAGCAACAAATAGAGGAATCTGAATGCATACTAGGCTTTTTAGGTACCCCTATCATTAAAAGTAACACACAAACTTTGCCAATCAACAGCATGTAAAAGATGTGAATTTATATGAGAGTTTTATGCTGAAACAATTATAAAATGGTCAATTAATTTTTTAAAAACTAGAAAAATTTGTTATTGATGGAGTCTTTTTACTTATAGAACAGATTAAAATTTGTTTCAATAACCTCTATGCAAATTCTCTGAGAATGAACTACTGGTTCACCTGAAAGAAGAATCCATTTATCACAGCAACTCCTCCGTTTAAGTTGCTGTACCATCAAATCCCTCCTTTTTCCACTTTACCTTCACTCTCTCCCTATTCACAGATTCTTTTCCCTCAATAGAAAACATGCTCAAGTCTACTTAGATTCTAACAAGGAGTGTTATCCTTTGACCATGCTCCCTCTTCTACTGATTTCTCTCCCCCTCTACTGCCCCTTTTAGCCAAATGTACGGAATCAGAGGCTAATCCAAGGAAACTCTCAGTCCCGCTCCTCCTCGAGCTCTTTGCAGTATCTGACATTGTTATTTTTGCTGGGTGAGTGAGATAAAAGCATAAAGAAAAAAATTAAAAGCTCCTAGCTTCCCTTCTTGGTGAGCCTTCTAATTCTGACCACGCTTTTCAGCAGTCAGCTGCCCTGAAAACTCAACCTTCCTCCCACATTAGGACTAACACTTGTGGCTCCCTAATTTCCATCATCAGCCCGACCAGCCTCCTGGAGTTTCAATCCTCTACTTACAACTGCTTGTATCTCGATGTCCCATAGCCCCTCAGTCAAATGCGTCCTGATGTCCACACTGCCACTGAACCCGCTGTGCCTCCCAGACCATCTATCCCCACTATCACTGTCACCACATTTGGACACTTATTTTCTTGTCTCATTGGGGTTCACCGCCCTAGTCTCTATTTACTCCAACGCAACTCCAGAGCCACAAGACTTCTTTCTGAAGCACAAATCCAGTCACATCACTCTTCTGCCAAAATCATGGGTTATGAAGAGAAATGGAAAATACAGATTAAAAACTAAATCAAAATACAGGTGAATGTATCTGATCTCAAGATGAGAAAGAGCTTTCCAAATATACTTAAATTTAAAACTCACTACTATAAAAATATTAAAAGGCAAGTAAGAAATAGGAAAATGTGCCAGAAATAAGACTGATAGGGTTACAATCTACATAAATATTTCTTAAAATAGGCAAGAAAAATACTAATGCCCAAATAAGAGGGGGACTATCATAAAGATCAAGGACGATTCACAGTAAAAGAAACAAAGAGTCAATAAATATAGGGAAAAACCAGCTCAAACTAGTTGTCAAGGAAATAACTGTTAAAATAACTACAAGAGGGCGCCTGGGTGGCTCAGTTGGTTAAGCGACTGCCTTCGGCTCAGCTCATGATCCTGGAGTCCCGGGATCGAGTCCCACATCAGGCTCCCTGCTTGGCAGGGAGTCTGCTTCTCCCTCTCCCACTCCCCGTTTTGTGTTCCCTCTCTCACTGTGTCTTTCTCTGTCAAATAAATAAATAAAATCTTTAAAATAAAATAAAATAAAATAACTACAAGATACCATTTATAAAATTAGCACACAGTAAACACTAAAACTACTTAGCCAGGAGTACAATGAAAGTCAAACCCACACATTCACTGCAGGCATGAATTTAAATAGCAGCCTTTTAGAAAAGCAATATGGCAAAATACATTGCGAGACCTTTAGACAGTTTGATCCAGTGCATTTATTTCTAGAACCCCATCCTAAATAGTCAGAAATACAGACATGGATTTATGTACAAAGATATTCAGTGAAATGGTAGCCATTATTTTAAATTGAAGCCTAAATAATCTAACAATAAGGAAACAGATAAATAATTTAAGTGTAGCCATATAATAGAATAAATACTGCAATCACTACAAATCATGCTTTCTGGGCACACTTAACCACATGGCAAAATTTCCTGTTCCAATTTTTTTTTAAAGACTTTATTTGAGAGCGAGAAAAAAAGAATGAGCGGGGGGGGGGGGGAGGAGCAGAGGGAGAAGCAGACACCCCACTGAGCAGGGAGGCCGACTCCAGGCTTGATCCAAGACTCTGGGATCATGACCTGGGCCTAAGGCAGACACTGAACCGACTGAGCCACCCAGGCACCTCTCCTATTCCAATTTTAAGTGAGATAAAATTACACAGACACACCCACACACCCACACACTATGGTTCTGATTTCATTTATTTAATGCTTAAGTATATATTTGAGCATGGTGAGAAACACTGGGAAGAAATACATGAAAATATTGGTAATTACATTTTGTGATGGAATTATAGAATATTTTCTTTTTTCTTTATATTTCCCTACATTTCTTAAATGGTACACAGTCAATATATATTATTTTCATAATCAGAAAATAAAGCTCCAGGATAAAATACAAAGTCCTTCAGCACAACATTCAAGGCCCATTACAGTCTGATACCAAATATTTTTCCAGCTTTAACAAATAGGCTCTCATACCATAACCATGGTTCCCCACCCATTAAACCTTTTATTTATTCCTTTGCCCAAAATATTCTTCTTTGTTCTATTCTAATCCCTTCTCTTCCACCAAGACTCTAATTCTCCCAAGGAAAGTTATTAGTCCACAATGAATCCAGCTCCATGACATTTTATATCTACTATAAATCACAAATGTATACACCTTGGTTATGTTGATATAGTTAGGTATTTTACATATTTACATTTTCCTGTACTCTATGGGAACTAATTATATTTTACTCATCTTGTGTAACCTTATCAGAGTACCTGGCAGAATAAACAAAGGATATTATAAAAAAATTATAAAATTATTTTAAATTGCTAATCATAAATCATAAACTCTTCTATCATAAAATTATAACAAATCTCCTTAACTGGTCTCTCTTCTGTTCAATCCTCCTCCCATCTGACCATGTTTCTTCCTAGCTGAAGGGGCTTCAACAGCATTTTATAATCCAGTGATACAATCTTTGCAAAGCAAAGACTTCTTTGCAAAGCACAAAACATCTTCCAAAATACACTGCTGCCTACTCCTTCAATTTCATCTCTAGCCACATCCCCTATATCTTCTACTACAGCCCAATGAAATCACTTGTACTTTTTTTAAAATTTTTATTTATTTGGGAGAGAGTGAGCATGAGGAGGAGGAGGGGCAGAGGGAGAGGGAGAAGCAGACTCCCCACTGAGCAGGGAGCCCAATGTGGGGCTCAGTCCCAGGACCCTGGGATCATGACCTGAGCCGAAGGCAGACGCCTAACCGACGGAGCCACCCAGGCGCCCCTAAACCACCTGTATCTTCCAGAACCATGCAGTGTCTAGCGTTTGTGACTTTGCTTATGCCAGGATGATGCTCCTTTCTCATTCTTCCTACAACCCTTTAAGTCATACTTTACCCATCCTTCAAGGGCATTTCCTGGATGTTAACTAGACTTTCCTGTGGTGATCATTTCACAGTATATACAAATATAAATTATCACATCATAAACCTGAAACTAATGTAATGTTGTATGTCAATTATACCTCAATGAAAGAAAAATGTAAAAAAAAGTCTCAAGTGGCTGCTCTTCCGCAAATTATTTCCATAATTATTACTAATTCTGCCTCCTTTGCTGAAACCTCTGTTCTGAACGGAATCATGCTTAAAGGAAGGTAGGAAATAATTTCTAAATCACAGCTTAAGAACCTAAAGAACATAAATAATATCAATTTATATTCTATAAAATATGATTTAGAAAAGCCAAGAGTTTCTGAATTTCATTCCCGTATTTAATTCATTTTTTACACATTCGCCTATGTTTGTGCAAGACACTGGAGATACAAAGACAAACAAGATGACTTTCTAGTCACGGAACTCAAACCTCACAACTGCATAATGGCATGTAAAGACACCATGATGATGTATTAAGAATGATGCTCTGAAGAAAGGAGGATTGCAAGGTACAATAAGGGACACAGCAGAGATAGCCACCCTGGGTGACCAGGGAGAGCCTCTCCGAAGGGGTAATTATGAAAGGGCAGAGAGAGAGCAAAATGTGAAAAAGGAGAAAGGCAGGAGATATGACAGGATGGATGTTGATGAAGCCACAGAAGACCAAGAGAACGAATTTAAGGAGAGAACACAGAGGTTCACACTAAGGCTTTTGAACCTTATCTTGCAGGTTTGGGAATCAATAAAGCAGTGCTTCTCTCAGAATCATTGGGGCTATTTGTTAAAATACAGGTTCCTGGGCCTGATATCAGGCCTGAATCAGTATGAACAGAGCTGAATGGATCAGAACCTGTCTAATGAGAATCCCAGGCAACTTCATGCTGCAGTACAGTTTGAGAACTATCATCTTTAAAAGAGTGGAATAACATGATCAAATTTAATTTTATAGATGTTTATCCACCAGCAATGTTGGCTGAAAAGATCAGAGTCATGAATATGAATTGGGAGGAAACAGAAGCCATCCAGATGAGGGAAGATAAAAGTATGCAACAGTACTGAGAATGTAGAGGATGGGGTGGGGTGAAGAATGTGTACATTACCCTTTTATTTCTAACACCATTGAGCTTCATATTTGTTTTTTCAAATGCTGAATGTGTAATGTCAAACACTATGCTTAACGCTTTATACCTACTGACATTAATTTGAAAGACAAAGTTATTTATAATACATTATATCTAGTATGTTCTTGCTATGAAAATGAATATTGATAGCTATCATATGCTAAGTTGCTGCCATGGTCCAGGCACTATGCTGGGCATTAGGTTCATAATATCACAGAAAAAGGTAAAACATCATCCTATAAGAACTTTAGGTAGACAGGCATGTCACTGTGTATGAGGGAATAGGTAATAATAGCATAAGGTAAAATCAAGAGCCCACCACA